ATTGACATTTAAAAACTGCAATAAAAATATGGGGTCACCATTCTCGTTTTTTCGCTAGATGCTCTCCAAAAATGTCCATTTATGGGTTTTATAGTGAAATGCGGTAGCAACCGGAAGCTGCAATCAAGAACCTTTATTCACAGTTAAAAGTACTTTTATATAACAAAACGTACTTATAACTCGAAGTTTACTAGATAATCTATACTATTAAATCCATCAAAGTCATTGGATGACTATGATTCTTGAACTATTAGTGAAAAATGCAGGTATGTGTGCCTCTACGAACGTCCAAAAATTGCACATGTCAACTATTCCCATCAAAATATTTTAAAATCTATGTATCCAATAAACGTTCCTTCATATTTTGATATATAAAGCATCGAGAAGCATCGCATTTATCAAAAATCTGAAATAAAATATGGGGGTGACCATTCTCGTTTTTGATTTATCTGGGGGAAAAAAACATCTCAAAATAGTCGAAAACTGACACTTTTCCGAGTGGAGACTGGGGCGAGTCAGATAAAAATCCCCAGTTTCTCTATTTAAAAACGAGAATAAAGTAAAAATTGGTTTTGAATATGTTTCTCATTTATTTTCGAAAGAAAAATGCCTAAACTTTGTTAGTTCCATGCTTTTAGTTGCATGCGCAGAAAAATGCGCAGTGTAAAACAAAGGCCATTGCCTTAAATGTCCATTTAACGATCTGAGCTTTGAAAACGTTTTTCAAACTAGCTAAGCCTGATCTATTTGTTAAATAAAGTATATTATATTATAAAATAATAATGATAATAAAGAACAACCCAAAAACAACCCAAAGGGTGAAGAAAATTGTTCTGYACCTCAAAATACCAATTTTATTTATGAAATTGCATGGGAAAGACCCACGCAATGTAATTAAGATGCGCTCTATAAACCTTCTATCAGTTATAAGAATCTAGGATTATTAAGGGGTAAGACGAAGTTAATTGTCTGACATACGCCTCCGTAATATAGAACATATGTAAAGACCCACGCAATGTAAGATACGCTCTATAAACCTTCTATCAATTATAAGGATCTAGGATTATTAAGGGATCGTACTAAGACGAAGTTAATTGTCTGACATACGCCTCTGTAATATAGAACATATGTAAAGACCCACGCAGTGTAAGATGCGCTCTATATACCTTCTATCAGTTATAAGAATCTAGGATTATTAAGGGGATCGTACTAAGACGAAGTTAATTGTCTGACATACGCCTCTGTAATATAGAACATATGTAAAGACCCACGCAATGTGAAATGCGCTATATATATTTAACACAGGAAAAGGCCCTGCGCTTTATGCGAACCTTCTGTTATAATGATCTAGAATTATTAAGGGGATAGTACTAAGACAAGGCTACTTGTATGACATACGCCTCTGTAATGTAGAACACAG